CATACGTACTTTCTTCGCCGTAACTTCGTTGGAAGATTAGCGACAGGCTAATGAATAGAAAGGAAAAGACTTTCATATCAACTTTTGTCAAAGACAACCTAAATAACAAAGTATAGGTTTTTGTTTATTTTACAGATCAACAATACTTTAACATATTAATGAATCAGTGACTATCAGATATTCAGTCTAAGACGGTTCAGATCTATAAATGTAAAGTTATTTGACGAATATGGTGCCATCTATCTTTAACAATATTACGAGCTGTGAATATTTTCGGTTTTCAATACTTTAATTTTATTTAAGAGTGATAATTCACAGTGTGTAAACAGAGCTTCGTGATTCGTAAATTTGATATCTCTGTCGCAATTTATTCAATATCGTTAAACCAGTACCGTAACTGAAGAGTTCAATACCAAAGTTCTCAACTTTATAGTACACTTACCAAATATACTTCAAACTCTTTAAATGCACTTCATTTCATGCAACTACCTTGTTAGCATGTTTGGCAAAATTCTAGATTAAGCAATCAACAAGCAGCGAAGAAGACACAATACACTCTTTCGATAATTACGTAATTTGGCTTGGGAGCCTCGCTCTCATGAGTCGTGAGCCAATCACCTTGCGGTGCCTTGCGTAATTTACTAATGAGAGCGAGGCTCCAAGACAAAAAGTATGTGTGACGTAATAATCGAAAGGGTGTAATAGCTTACTATCGGAATTTCGTCGACCGGAAAAATAAAATAAACAACCATTTTGATTAAATCAATAATTTTGTTGAACTGCAAACAGCGTGGGTACCTCTGTCTAACAAAGTCTAAAGGCTGGTTCAGAGGTCGACTTCGAACGGACCCAGCATTGTCGGCATACCATCATCCAACAATTTTAAACCAATACTTAAAGGAACGCTGTGCTGTGATTTTTGGTTATGTATTGGAAGACCTTTGAGTTGATGGTAATTAATTTAATCATTCAATGAATATTTTTTTCTGTTCTCATGGTCGACTATTAAGTACAAAGTAGATTTTGAAAGCTTGCATGCCGAGAGACGCTCATTCCTATACGCCCTATATCCACGAAGCGGTAAACAGGCGTGTGTCTTTTTACGTTTTCCGAAAGTCGAAGTGTCGAACAACCTAGCTCCCATAGTTAATAGAATAGATGGTTTGGAAACTCATTAGAATAATAATATAACTCGTTATCTATGTTAGTCAACGTTTATTCATAAATATGATCCTTTATCGTCACGTGTGTATTGTATTTTTGCCAAATCCACCAGTAGCAATTTCCAATTTACCCCCATTGTTCGAGTCACGGATAGGTAACTTTCCTAAAACATTGCTATTGGTTAGTTGGGCAAAAATACAATACGCACGTGACGGTGAAGGATCAGATTTATGAATAAACGTTGACTAACATAAATCATTCTAATGAGTTTCCAAACCACCTACTCAACAGGGTGTCCCAAAAAACCCCCGAAAACTATTGAAATCACCAATAACAATTTAATTGTTAGAATTTGAATGCCTTAGCACTCTGTTAGTTCCCACGAGTGCATAAATGATTGACATAAGTAAATTTTATGCATAAAGAAACTATTTAAGAAGCTGCTTTAAATTCCCAAGAGCAAAAAATCGCGCACTTTACAAGGAGATGTTCTTAACTAAATTTTAATACATGCACCTTGTCAATATTTTACGCATCATTACGTTCAGCTTTTTGGTAGGGCATTCAATTTTAACAATAAGTGATTTCAATAGTTTTCGTTTTTTTGGGACACCCTGTATTAACTATGGTGTTTCTAAATCCAAGTGCCATGAATAACGGCGAGGCGCAGCCGAGCCATTATTCATGGCATGCACATGGGATTTGGAAGCCAAGTCTAAAACACTACAGGGTGTCCCCCCCCCCCCCCAAAGG